CTTAATAAGTAGATTATCTCAGGGATTTGTTATAGTGACAGAAAATTGACTATCACACACACTTTTGTATCTTTGTAAAATATCAGTAGATTTTTGAGAGTCTATTCCTGGATTCTGTATTTTATGTCATTGATCTACATGTCTGTCATTGAATTACACAATCTTGATTACTGTAGCTATAAGATAAAACTTGAAATTGGGTAGACTAGTTCATCCCACTTTGTCCTTCTTTTTCAAAATTGTCTTAGCTATCCTAGCTCCTTTGCCTTTTCATAAAAATTTTAGATCTTGTCGATAGATCTACAAAATCTTTGACTATTTTGTAGAAGTTATGTTAAGCTAGTATATCAATTTGGGGATCATTGACATTTGGGGTAACTACTTAATTTTTTTTCCAAGTCATATCATTTTTCATTTACTTCCATTCAATGAGAATTAGGAGCACTTGTGCTCTCTACATGAATCTGAGCTCTAAAGCTGTAAGAAGGCTGAGTAATTCTAAGCCATGTATTAGCAAGTTTGAGGGAGTGTAGTGTGACCACATGCCAAAAGAGTAAGCATGCTCAGAGGAAAGGTAAGTGGTACTGTAGCTGACTCTGGAAGATATGGTCTTGGAAAAGTTCTTCAAAGAACTGTTGGATTTATATGGGCAGGTAGGAGAGGAGTGCATGGAATCTATTCAGACTTGCCTTTAGAAATAGTTGTTTGCTTTCTGGTTAGTCCTCAATGGAAGAATCTTTATTGCTGCTGTCATTTAGTTGTCCTTCTCTGGACCTTTTCTATCCTTGATAGGTTTTTATATTTTGAAATACTTTATTGACATTGCTCTCCTGAGCTGTGTGTCTTGAAGCATCACAGAACATTTATGCATTTTAAGGGAAATGTCATTGCTATTCTCTCTCCCATTGAAAATTATTTTTGTCCTACAGTGACTTTGGCTGCCCCTGTGGATTGTTGTCTCAGGTGTAGTTTCAGGAGTTGGTCTGGCTGTTGAATTTGTTTGTGCTTTCCTTAGTACCCAAATTAAAACACATGTTCACCATCAGATGTTTTTTGCAGATTGCTCCCAGTGCTCTTTCTGTGGGTTGTGCCACCCAGAGGTTGGCTTGGTCTTAAAAATCATTCCAGAGCGAGGGCACCCCAAAGAGAATCATTGCCTGAGGTGTTTAGATACAAGTGCCAGCCCTGCATCTCTTTGTTCGTATAGCATGCTCATGTCATTCTCTTCTGGGTATTGATTTTTAAGAATTAATTTGTATTATGCTGTCATCTAAAGAAAGTCTCTTCTGCTGCTCTTCCTGCTGCCTGGGCAATGGAAGGTGTTTAGTCAGAATTTGATGAGTGACTAAAACAGATGACTGACATCTGAAAAGAACATAAAATGATTCAGGATCTTTTATAAATGCAGGCAAATGACAACATTGTCTGTTACTTCTAGATAGTGAGCCTTATGTGAAACCCTTTGATTCTGTCTGTTCATCTTCAAGGGGACATCCTTGAAGTAAGGACTCACAGGGTCACTGCATGTGGCAGCATAAGATGAACACTGATGCTTTGTCTCCCCTAGCATTCTCAGTTTCTGCTAAAATATTTTTTTAAGATTATATATATATATATATATATATATATATATAAATTTGTAAATGGACATAATACCTTTTTGTATTTGTTTATTCTTATGAGGTGCTGGGAACTAAAGCCAGTGCATCACACATGGTAGGCAAGCACTCTACCACTGAGCTACAACTCCAGCCCCTCTGCTGAAATCTTAATACAGATTGAGTTGAGGAATATGTTTGGATGTGGGGTATTTAGCTTATTCAAAGGATATAGCAACCTTATGGATGTAAGTGGAGCACCTATTTTTTTAGCTGGCTTTTTCTAGAGCCATAGAACCTGGTCTGTTATTCATGACACATAGGGAATTCTTGTTCAAATAAGAGTAAATTTAGAATATGCATCAGTGGCAGGATTCAATCCAAATTACAACCAAACCATCTATATGTACTCTCTAAACTGTTTCCTGTTTGGGTAGAGAAGTTGCATATTCACTCCTTTTATTTTCTTGCAGATATCCTGAGTGACTCTCACACCTTTAATGAAATATTTTTCCCCACTAAAGCTCTAAGAGACTCACAAGACATGTGAAGTTTCTCATGGTGAACATGTTATAGTAAAGCAGGTGATGAAGATGCCTTCATTTGACAGTGGACTCATTCCCCTTCCTCCCCCAAGGATCCATGGTTCATTAGTTTGTGTGGACCACTGGACTAACCGTGTCTTACTGTTTTAACAGCCTGAGCAAGTGGTTTTATTTTTTAAAAGAGAAAGAATATTTTATGATAGAAGGAGTTCACCTGAAAAACAGAGTAAAAAAAAAACATATAAACGCATATCAAGGGAGGTTTTAATTATACTGCATTTAAATGTAAACTTAATCTTTCTTCCTGGGAAGAATTTATTCTGATTTTTCACTTTAACAAATAATGTAAAGTCACTATTTAAACTACTGTTGGTCTTTTTAAAAGTTTTATCTCAAAGTAGCTAAATGGCTTTGTTGCTCATGTGGGAATGGAAATTAGCTCTTGGCATGAACTGCTTTAATTGAAATCAGTTTGTGGGCTGAGTTCCTATGCTGCTTGACTGATGACATCATTTCCTGTGCTTTTCCCAATCCTTACTGTTTTTCTAAGATAGGATGAAGCTAAGTATAACTTCAGATTTTAAAGCAACTGTACACCTTTTCCTGACCTACTTAGAATATTATCCAGCATTTTTATCAAATCCTTTTTGCCTTGGTATCTTTACAGATAACTTTTTAGTTAAAAAGCATTTTGGCTGAGATATTTTAATGGACTTATAGGAGCCTAAAATAACAGTTTGTTTGAATCAGTTTCCTGGGTTGCTTGACTTCTATAACAATGCTCCATCAAAGGAGTTATTTCAGCTTTTATGCATAGAGAAAAAAGACAAAAATATTTTTAGTAGCAGTATACTGTGTAAGTGCTGTGTAAGTGCTTAGTACACAATAGGCAGCTTCTCAGTCTCAGTCTTTGAGCCTGGCTTTTGATTTCATTATCATGTAGCATGAGTTGAGAAAATAGAAGTTAATTTAGCACCATTATGTATAGCACCTACATACAGGTAAGGTGCTACTCTAGGCGTTTGAAGGGATGTAATTAATAATTGTGGCATTCTTCGCTCTCAAGAAGTTTTAGGATAAAATCAATTGGGAATAGGAGAAATAACAAAATAATACATATTCAAAGAGAAATATAAAGTACTTTGAGAGGAAGGAGGGTTTGGGAGAGGGGAGGGAACAGAGATCAGAAAAGAACAAGAAAAAGAAGATACATTTGAAAAGGATGTTGGAGGCAGGTGGAATTTCAGGTTTGTGAGAATTGTGTGTTGGTGATTGAAAATTGGGGGGAGGGTGCGGAGGGAGAGAGAGACGAGGTGGGGTGATTAGAGAGGCGATTCCATGAAGAAAGAGGCTAGCACAAAGCCCCTGGCATAGGCATGCTGCATAATAGGCATCCATAAATATTTGTTAAGAGAATAAAAAATTGATGTGTAGATTGGAGGACTGGTTCACAAGACATCTTATGAGTGTGCAGACGAGCCATGAAACACGTCATGTTATCATGCTCAGGAGAGCATTTAATGCTGAGGTGCAGGGAGTCCTTCATGATGATGGTGTTTCAGTAAGTGTGTGGCTCTTGAAAAGGCATATTGTTTTCAACTAGACTCTGTTTTCTTTTTGTTGTTGGTTATTTTTTTAATCTAAGAGGCCATTATAAGTATTGGGTTCTGCATCTTTCTTTCTCTGTTGTCAGGGTGGGGTTTGTGTAGCTGCTTAGTAAAATGGCCCTTTGTCCTGTGGCCACTTTCTGAGACTGTTCTGGACTCTCCATAAGGGGCACTGAAGGAGGGTGGTTGCTGGGAGGAGTCTTCTCTGGTTCATGGAGAAGATTTGGCCCCTGTGCCTCAGGAAGATTGAGCCTCAAGAATGAGCAGAGCAGCCGATTTCAGCTCTTGGACAGAAAGAAGGAGTTCTTTTCTCCTAACATAAAATTGTGGAGTATTTTCCTCCCACAACATAGAGGACAAAATAAGCTAAACTTCCAATACCCAGTTCTGGCCTGTTTGTATAGAGATGTGTTAACAAGAATACATGATTAATTCAAGCCTTTAGTCCTCTCCATCCACTCCAAGTAGGAAACTTCTAGATGATGAGGAAATAGCCTGAGATTTTGAAAGTGCTATCAGCATACCTAAGCTTCCCAAGTATATCTATGCTGTTATTTCTCCTAGTGGAACCTCCTGGCATTTTTAAGAATATAGCATCTTCTGCTGTCTCATGGTCTCAGGTCTAAGACTATCCACCCTAAACCCTGAAATGTCTACTCTTGTAGGTGAAAATGTGGCAAAGAGTGTATTCTAAACACTGAGGGTCTTCTTGAGTTTAAGGTTACAGTTTAAACAAGCAGCTTTTTCTGAGCCCAGTCCAGCCTCCTCCCATCTTCAGGCAGCCTTGTTATTAAATGCCTTTCTAGGTATTTTTTTTTCTCTTTTCTGCCTCCAATGTGGAATTTATTACTCTTGTTTCCCTGGCCACCTACCTGGGACTCTGAATCATTTCACTGAAAAATTATTGCTATTGTAATTTTGTCTTGTATCATTACTCACAGCACTACTTTCTTGTTGATATAAATTATAAGAAATGACATTGAGTTGTAAGTTGTGCTACATTAGGGAAGTCATTTAGCACTATTAAAGTAAATGCCAAAGAAACAATTACAGTGCATTGTAAATGATTTTGTGCACACAAGTGATAACATGCTTAGCATTGTTGATTAGGTCACTTCTGCATAAATATGTGAATTCTGATACATTGTTTTATTTTCTCTTCAAATACTACAGATCAAATGAACTGTTGAAATCTATGCACTTAAATTGCAAAACTGAATCATTCTCCTTCTTCTTTTTTTTTTTCCAAGTACAACACTGCACTATTCGCTGTATGAATGGAGGCAGCTGCAGTGATGATCATTGTCTGTGCCAGAAAGGATACATAGGAACTCACTGTGGACAACGTAAGTAAACCAGGTGGTCACTTCCATGTAGACACATCATAGCATAATGAAATAAGTGCTGATGGATTTTCTTTGATTCCCCGGGACACGACATTTTTAAAGACACCTAGGGACCCTTACAGATGAACACATCACTTAACCAACACATTTGGCACCAGATTTCCTTTCGGAATATTGATAATAATTTGTTTGATTCATTTTCCTCTTGTTTGTCTTTACCACCCTGCTTGCCTCAGACCTTTGATTGACAGTTACTACCTAAGGTGCAGGATCATTGTTAGTTCCTAATGTTACCTTCCATTCATTTGCTGAACTTTTCCATTTGGATTTTCAGGAAGCATCTCAAATAAAGTATTTGAAAACTCAACCTCATGTTTCTCCCTAAACATGTCTTTTCTCTTGATTAATAGCATCTGCAACTCTTTTTAGTTTCCCACACTAGGTTCTGCTACTGTAGTACTTATTACACAGTGTTCATTCACAACCACCATTTATTGCATCTGCTCTCTACCAGTCCCTGTGCTTTGCAGAAGATGAAAATTCCTTTCAAAAAGCTTATTTTTAATTACTCTAAGAAGAATATATAGAAACTGGGAAAAGTTAAAAATATGAAAAATAAATGATAACTAATCCCATCATCCCTGATGCTATCTTCTAGATTTTTAATGCATATTTAGATCTTATTCTATTCAGATCTTATTGTGTATAATAATTTTTCCTACAAGTTTTTCACTTAAAATTTTATTAGAAATATATTCATAGCATTAAACATTTTAAAATACATTTTAATGGTTTCATAAAACTCTATTATATTCATGCTTTACTACTTGCTTAATGGTGAATATTATTTATGTAGTTTTCAGTTTTTGCCATTGTGTATATATTTGTTATGATGAAAACTACTATTATAAATAAGCCAAAACTTATATAATACCCTACTGACCATCCCCACATTGCTGCTGGTAAGAATATTGACTGAGTTTTGTGCAGCTCAGCATGGAGAGAGAAGAAAGGCAGTGCAGCCTTCCCCAGTGTGAGCGACCCTTTGGCCTGAGTCTCGAGGGATGCTTCAGAGTTTACCTGTCAAGTGATGAAGGATGGTCCTTTTAGGCAGATAATATCATGTTCCAAAGCACTGCAATAGGACAGAATAGGGAATGTGGGATGTAGCAGGTGCTTTGGTGTTGCTGGACGTTAAATATGGAGAGAAGTGAGGAATGGGAATAAGGTCAAATAGGAATCATGGGCTAGGTTTTGATGTCTTTATACATATAATCTTCCTTCCGAAGTCAAGACAGGAAGGGATATTAAGGTAACAAATGACGAAGTGCACTTATGAGTTACTTACTCTATGCCTGACACTTTTAAAACACTCTTTACATGTTTTAACTCATTTAATATAATGGCTTTTTGAGTGGGAAACCATGAATACTACTTTCTAACAATGAGGAAACTGGGGCACGGAGACTTCAGTAATTTCTCTAGGGATATACAGATGTAACTGCAGAGTTGGTGCTGGAACCCAGGCAGTCTGACTCTACAGCCCATGTGTTTAGTACTATGAATACCCATCTTCTATACTTTATTTTAAGAGGGTTTACAATGAGAAAGATCATTGTGGCCACAGTGGTGAATCAACTGGAGTGGAAGAAACAGAAAGCAGAAAGACTAGGCTAAAGTAAGGCTCTGGTTACAGAGATGGCAAAATGGGATGGATTCAGAGGCATTTGGAAGGAGAAACAGGAGGGGCACCTCTCTTGCTCCATTTGACGCTCCCTGGAGGGGGGAGTTTAGCCCAAAGCCCTGCACACAACAGGTGCTCATGTAACTCTTGCTGAATTCGAAAACCAAACCTTTCCTTAACTTCATTTTCCTCATCTGTAAAATGGAAGAGTTGGGTTCAGCAATCTCAAAATTTCTTTTTTCTGCTTAAAATCTCTTAATATTTCCCTGACTACAAATGAAGAGGTGAAGCAGAACAACTAATAATCATAAATCTCTCTAGTTTTTATGATGAGAAATAGACACCTGTCATAATTTTAAGCATTAAAAGGTTATATCAGTTCAGGTCTTCTGCTGCCAATTGGATGCCAAGAAAGCATTAGATGTATAAGAGATTTATGTGGGGAGAGGCTTGTGGAAGATAATGGGGAAAGGAAGCAGGATAGTGAGGGCTTGGCTTTCAGATCACAATGTGGTCTGTTTAAGGAGAGAAGAGAGGAAGAACAATTATGGGGTAGGAGCCTCAGACAAGTGCACCTCTGATAGAGCCTTGGCTAGGCTGGTGACAAGCCTAGAGCAAAGATTGCCCATCAGAGTTTCGTGTTGGCATCAATGGCCAGATCTTAGTCATTGGCTGAGGGGGTGCCTCAGGTGAGACTGTTGGAGCACATCTGAAGGTGTGGCAGCTGGAAGCTGACTGCCAGCTCAGCTCCCTGCAGAAACTTCTCCAGAAGGGAGAACTGAGTGGCTCAACTTCACAATTGCCACAGGAGTAGAAGCAAAGTTCATGGAAAATGTGTGAAGGAACCTTAAATTTAGAAGGAGGTAATAGGAAAAGCATCATGGAAGAGTCAGGTTTAGCTGGGCTTAGAAGAAAGGATGGGATGGCAGATTTGGTAGGGAAGAGCCTAGCACCTGTGGTGAAGATGCCTACAAAGTCATGCCTGCAGAGTTATAGGAAATTGTACAGGGAGGAGTTGTTTACAGCATAAGTTTTCAGCTCTTATTTTAATGCCTTTTCTATCAAGGAAAATGTCTCTCTCTCCAGCATCTCAGGGGTTATCTCACCAATTCTATTATGACACTCCATTGGGTCTTCATTATGACACTCAAATTACTGAATCATTGTTTGCAGTTAATTGTGTAATTTTACATGCTATATTTCTGTAAGGGTGATATCAGTGGGAACAGATATCATGCTTCCCTTCCTGGGAGCCCTCTCTAATTGAAACAAATCATAAGTCAAAGAGTCAGCTTGCTAAAATGTAGTTGCTCTCTGGTGAAGTTTTCCAGAAAACACCACTTTGGATGCAAGACAGAAAGCATTGCTCAGATACTGCGTGTGATGTGACTGTCAGCATTAACATGGAAAGAAGTCACTGCTCAGGCAGTTGCCTGAGGGACGTCTCAGGATCTCTGACTGTGGGGCAGCTGTTCAAAACAAAAACAAATACCAGAGTGATTATGTATATTTTTATTGTTTTCCTTTCAGGGGACTGCAGTGTTACCTCATTAGCATCTATTTTCAGGTAAAGCTTCTCAGTTCTCTCCTTATCTTACAGCTGTCTGTGAAAGTGGCTGTCTCAATGGAGGGAGGTGTGTGGCCCCAAATCGATGTGCATGCACTTACGGCTTTACTGGACCCCAGTGTGAAAGAGGTAATGTATTTTGAAATCATATGCATAAAGACCTTCTGATGGCTAACCTATTATTGATTTGTATAGGCCCTGGATTTGTCCAGCTATGTTTTGAATTTTGCTGAGCTTTATGGAGGTTTCTGAATTGTCCCTGGAAAGTATGACAAGGCCTTGGCCCTGAGTCTGTGCATGTTTTTCAGCCATCATGCTGGTGGAATGCAATATTCCTTAGGAAGCATATATGTAAGATTCATAGATGTCCAGGGATGTCCCAGGAGTACTCCAAATAATAAACAGCTTTAATTTTAATGTGAATTTCTGTTTTCAAGTTTAAAGCTCACTGTTACTTCTGATTAAAAGAACTGTTTTACCTGATTTGCCTGCCTATACATGCAAATATGATGTTGAGATCTATATGGATGTGCAGTATTCTTAAATTTCCCCCCATGAACTTGGCGTTATTAATCATTTTGTCTCTACATGTTATTTTCTCATCACTCCTGATTTTATAGTGAACATTTAGGAAGTTCATGTCATTCAAAACTGAACTGGAAGATTACTTGGGAACTTTTTAAGTGGCACTTGTCACTTTTATCCAAAGTTGTATAAAAATCTTCTTCTAAGATGGACGGTAAAGATTAAGTAGCAGATATTCAATGTGTGACATTTAAAACATAGCTGAGAAAAGCAAAGAGCAGAAAGTGGTATGTGAAAAATTGTTTATTTTCTCTCTTTGTACATGTTCAACTAAATTCAGTCATTTTCTAACAAATCAACAGTACATATTTTGGTGAGCAACTCTAGGTCAATTGCTGTTATTATTGGATTAAAATTATATTGTAATTTAATTAAATCCCTGCAAGGTATTGCTGATGATGCATAATAGACCCTTGGCATCCTTCTGAAGTCCCTCCTTAAAACTGTCTTACAACTTTTGCACTGGTTATTTTTGTTGATTTACAGCTAATATACATCATCCAGTGGTATTGAGAGTAATAAAGACAACTGTTTATAATAGGTAGTATCATTCTATACCTTATTGTTTACTCATTGAAGATGTTGGAGATTAAAATCGTTTACATGTGAAGATAATTTCTCAGATGATAATGCTGAGTTTTACTTGTTTTGGAAAAATTACTAATAAAAGGAATTTATAGGTTATTTTTATTTCTAATGAAGTTGTTAATCATTTATTGAAAAGAATCTTGATTCCAATACTTCAGATATTGATGATAACAGTCTGAAATAAAGAGGGCATAATATCGAACCTCTCTACAGTTATTTCTTCAAGATTTTATCTTTGCTTAAGAGGAGGAAATGGCTTGAATGGGTTAAGTGTTACTCAGGGTTTCTCCAAGTTTTGGGGTGTCTATAACTACTCCCTTTCAGGGAGAAAGGCTATCCTGAAACCTACATAAAGGTGTCAATGTCTGTTGGCCCCAGAGAATCTTCATAGTGGTGATTATGTAAATCAAAACAATCCCTTAAATGACAGCTTTCGGGGCCTTTGTGGTAGTGGAGAGGGAGTGGAGAAGCAGGAAGAGACTGTCTCTATTCATTGTCCTCTACTTATTTGGACCATGAGCACAGCTCTGACCTTCAGTTGGTCCAAGGAGACACCAATGTCATTTCCCTCATTATATGGGAGAGGGGAATCTTTTTTATTCCAGAACTGTGTTTCCATTTATAGAGTCTCTGCTGTTTGAGGGCTCTTCTGAAAGTTATCCACTTAATTCCTTAAACAATTAGAGTCAGTCTACCCTCTTATCAGATGTATGTTTGTGATTTCAAGAGTGAAGGATAAATATGTGGAATCAAGTCAGGACAAATCCATCCTGAAACACTAGAAAATATTCAGCATGGTTTCTTGTGATGGTGAGTTAGTATACTTCTTAAGTTGTGAATAGCAGGATAATGCCTAGGCTAATTGTAATCTGTTTTTATCAGGGTGTGACGTTTTATTTTTAAAAAATAAATTTGCAGGAAGCCTTCACTGTTTTCCTTGCTCAACTCACATTCTCACTAGTTCTTTGTCTATATCTCTTTTTTATAGCACTTACCACTTTATATCAAAACTTCAGATTTCCACTTACTCCACTAGAGTGCAACCTCTTTGGGAGTAACTATAGTTTCATTATCTTTTTTTTTTTTTTTTAACATACATGACAGTAATGGAATGTATTACACTCATTATTACCCATTTACAGCACAAGTTTTCGTAACTCTGTATATAAAGTATGTTCACACCAAGTTTAGTGCCTGATGCATGGCACATGATTGATAGACATTGAGCTGGATTCCTTGTATAGTATCAGAAGATCTGGAGATATAATTATCAGATATGGCTAATATCTTATGGAAATAATTGCTGTTTGCCTGCTGTGGGTAGTCCTAGAAATTGCCTGGCTCTCTCAGGAACCCAAAGTGACTGTGCAAGACCCCTTGGGAATGAGTGGCAGGCTTTGGATCACTTAATATCAATAAATGAAACTTAATAATCCATGAACATCACATTTTGGTTTTTGATGGATATTCATGCTTGAATTATGAATCATAACATTTATTCAGACAATCATTGATTATCAAATTTGTCTCACTTGCAACATTTATCCGTTAAAATAATTTGTTTAAATGTCTTGGTTAGTTGGCCACCTTAGGCAGGTAGTGATGATATATTGTAGCATTGCCTGTCTTTCTTCACTCAGAGAAAGAAACGTTGTAACCACTGGGTTGTTTGACCTGCAGGGCTTACTTTGTAAAAACTGTATAGGAATAGCCTTAGATATAGCCTGGAGTTTATCACAGTCCCCACCACTTCCTGTTGTTACATACACTGCTTACTTCATTCATTTAGCTTCCCCTGGTCCCTGTGGGCACTTAAGTTTGCCACCTCCTGCTGCATTCTTTATCAAAGATGGTATCTCTGTTTTTTTTTTTCTTTCCATTTTTCTTTCTCTTACCGGTTTTTCCTATAGATTTACATTTATGGTTTTCTTGTTGTTCCCCATCCCCTTTGCCTTCTCTCTTCCTGGGCTTTGACCAAGCAGTAGAATTTATCATTGCCTTAGCTCAGTGGTACAGTATGTTAACATTTGTTATCAGAATACTGAAATGAGGTCAGTGCCTGTTTTTGCAATGACAACACAAGTGAGTTGTGTATTGCTATAGTTACTGCCAACAAAAGACTGTGTGGAGTCATGCTTTCTCTTGCCATTTGCTTTAAAATGCAGACCATTAAAAATCTTGTTAAATGATCTTGCATCAAACACAGTGAATCATGTGAGTAAATGAGGTCTTTGAAGGTCATGAAAAAAAGAGAGAAGAATGATGGGGACAGACCTGAACTTGGAGTTGAGGGTGTATGTCATGTGGATAGGCATATAGAAAGAAAGAGAAACAAAGGAAAGACACTGGGGAAACATGAGGGGAAGCAAGAGAACCAAGACAGCAAGGAGCCAAAGAAACTGAGCCAAGAGGGAGTTTGAGACTTAGTTTGGTGGTCACAAGACTTACTGAGGGGTCAAGAGAATGAGAATCACAGAGGCTTTTGACATACTAACAACTGATAGGTACTGACTCTTTTACAATGTCCCAGGTGATGTGTTGAGCATTTTAGCTTTTCTGCAAAAACATTATGAGAAATTTCCTATAGTGAGACCCATTTTACAGGGAAATAACAGAGGTAAAAAGAGATCAAATCTGAGCAGTCTGGCTTTTAAGACTGTAAACATCAGCGCTGCGCTACACTTGGATTTCAGTGGGAAGGGGTCATTGCTTAGCCATAGAGAATTTTCTGAGGAATGGTAAAAAGAAACCCAGAAGCATGAATTTTAGGGTAGCAGTAATACTTTTTAAAAAGTGCCATTCAAGAAGTTTGGTAGGCTGGGGTTGTGGCTCCGTGGTGGAGCCCTTTTCTAGCATGTACAAGGCCCTGGGTTTGAAAACAAAATGACAAAAAACAAACAACTACAAAACACAAAGATATTGGGCTAGGTGGGTGGTTGTCCTCCATGGTAGGGTTCAACTAAGTTGTTCTGAAATAATTTTAAAAAGCAAGAGAAAGAAGCGTTGAGTATTGCTTGGATGTGTCTAACACAGGGTTCTAGAAAACTCTTCTGTTTGATTGATTTTGGTGATTTAAAAATGTCCACTCACTCTTGGGGAGAGTGATTTCTATCTGTTTGCAGAACATATAAATGGGCTCCAAAGGACCAAAACAAAATATGCCTAAACATAGATGTCGGAAATGAATATTATTGTTTAGTGTGGTTACCATGGCAGGCTATATAGTTTTCCTACAATGATACAGTTGCTCAAAACATATTTGGAATCTTCTGTTTTTGGAAATGGCTTTACAGAGTCAGCAATACATTCAAATGAACATGTGGCCATTTTTCCCCTTTGGGGAGGAATTTTGAATTTTTTAGAAATGGCCTAAAATAATTTAATGCTAATTCTAGTGACAACAGTGGGTAATTAAAAGTTTTAGCTGTTTGGGGTCAAACATGGGCTTAGGAGAAAATAAAACAAAAACTAGTGAGAATAATTTTCTCACATGGCTCATAAAGCATGTAGAATTGGATTAATGTTTTAATGTCAAATTTTATGTGAGCCAGAGGATAAAGCCTTTTGGAAGCATAAATGCTAATAGCAAGAAGTTTCCTATCATTAGTCCATCTGGAGATCTTCATCATGTACTGTCAGAATGTGAACATGCACAAGAGTGCTTCTAAATCCCGATTCATTTGTTCTGTTAAATTCCTACCCATGTCTAATCTGTGAAAACAGTATTTGGATTTTTGCCAGCTCCAGAAAGTCTGTTGGCTGTTTCACTGACTATCAGTAGGTAAGTATAGGGTAAGGCATTGTCAAATTGGTAGCTTGAAGAAAAAGAGACAACGGGGACAAAGGTGAAGAAGAAAAAAAATGAAAATATGGAAATAGCCCACATCCCCCTAGAGAAGCAGATCAGGGGAGGTGAACTAGATATGCATGAGTGCATACATGCTTCCTGGGAATTG